TTTCTCCCAGGTGGAGGTGTAAATACAGCAGGAGGATTTGGGAAGAACTCCCCTCTCTCCAGCTGAAACAGGACATGCCATAATACCTAACAACGGTTTCAAATCAGCATCTCTTGGATTCAAAATAACAAAAAGAAAACTCTAAAAATCTTTTGTGGGGTCCAACGACGCTGGTTCTCTTCTCACCGGGGTAGATCTCCATGGTAACTGATGCTGAACACCTGAGCTGCTCCAGGTAATGTTCCAGAGATCAGCTCAGTGAAAGCAGGTGAGACGGGGATGTTTAACAGAACATGTGAGATCATCTGAACTGATACAGTTGACAGTGTGGAAAGACACATTTAAATTAAGAACATTAGTTTTACAGTTTCATTTAATCTTTCAGGTGATGCTAGCTTAGAGTGGTTACCAACAGCAGCCGTCAGTTCATGTGAGCTCTGAAGACCACCGTCTGAACATCTGCATGACGACACCATAGATAACAGCATGTGGATATATGCCAGTGAACATTCTCCTTTACTCTTATACATGTCTTAGATTTGATTATTTCATTGTTGCACTCTGATCACTGTTCCTGAACACACTAACAATACTGACTTTGATCAAGTTGAAAACACGAGGACTGTCAGCCGTTTGTTAGAATGTTTTTATTGGACTTCAAAACTGCTAAAACTTAGAAGNTTTTGTCATTCAAATACAGTAGATAGCCTTGTAGTTGCACTGTATAGGCAACATAACTATTCACAGTTCAAAGGATGCTAGTTTTGGTCAAACAGCAATTTGCCTATACAGTGCAACTACAAGGCTATCTACTGTATTTGAATGACAAAAGATGACATTAACCTTAAAATTTCTATTTGTCTTAACTGTCGGAACTTGTACAGGCATGTTAAGTGGGAGTGGACTTGAAATCCTTAACTCAAGGTGTAGAACAATTAAGTTATCAAGCCAATTGCATTACTTACTACAACTTGAATTTTGTTTTAAGAGAATTAACACAGAAATCAGAGTTCAAATTACACACAATATTAAGTTGATGTAATTACCAACATTATTACGTCAACACAACTTATAAATGAATGTTTGCAACTTAAAATGTTTATCTAAATCAATTAACTCCCATTTTTATCTTGCAACCATGCATTTAATTAAGTGGAGGTGAAAGGTCGCCTGAATTCGTTTTTAGAGTGTATCACTAATGTCCAAGTTTCATTTTGTAGTTCTTCTTTATTCTAATATGTTGTTTTTGTGTGTATTTCACACTCATACTAATTTAGGGAACAATAACTTCCCCACAACCACCATTAGCATTATTTGTAATGGCAGGCCTGCACTCACATTTAAATTGCAGATTATTGCAAGAAAGGAAATAAACTAATTATAATAGGTGGATGGAAACACCCCGTTTGGACCTGTGAGCCTTTCATAAAAGACCAGGGGGAAGAAAACAATGCAGCTCCCACTACTCCATTTATGCAGAAAATATACACATGAATGAACTAGAGCATGAAAAAAGCATTCATTATTCTCGTTCTGTACATTTGTGAGTAATAAACCAGGCATCCAGGAGAAGATTAAAGGGATGTACTGCCAATCATCCGGGCGGCGAGCACCCTTGGGGTTTTAAGCTCCTGTCACCGAGGCAACCACTATAGTACCAATGGACAGATCCAAAATAAACACAAGAGACCGACAGTCATTTATGTGCAGCAATTCTGTACTACAATTCACAATGGTGCCACAGGCTGTTTTAATGAATGGACACCAGAGAATTGAGCTCTACAGATAATAACATGTTTAAAGCCAGAAGAAAAAGGACAAAATATAGAAACGCGGTTCTTGGAGAAACCGATCCTCGCAAATGGCTCATGATCAACATTTCCTAGCATCTAGTTTGCGTGTAAACAGCAACCCGAGCTGTCTTGAAGTCTCCATTTACCTGTAGACCGCGGCGTCTCAGGATATTCGGCTCATCCATCATTGAAGACAATAAAAAGAGGATCTCCGATCAGTCAACCCATGCTGCGCCCCTTCCTCTCCCCAGGACCGTGCATAAAGTCCTCCTTGCTTCCGATGCTTGCTGCTTCTCCACCAACCAACCCCTCCTCCAACCCGGGGCGAGATACACGACCGGCCCCTGAAAAGGTGGCTACCTCTGGGGCTGATCACCTGATAGTGAGGGGAGGAAGGAAGAGTAGTGGCTGTTGTTGTGGTTAGTGAACCTCAACCTAATAATGAAGTGAGAAGGAGTGTTGACCCCACCCTCTTATTGATATTCTGTTATTACTTGCCACGCACAATTGACTTACAATACAATACAGCTTTATCTGTGAAGCACTTTAAAACCTCCAGACCAAAGTGCTGTACAGAAAGATAAATAAGTAAATACAAAAAACATACAGCTCAAAAACCATAAAATAAGTGAGAATTAAAAAAGAAATGTATCACCAGATACACAAGTACACAACATATGTTGCCACTTCCTCTTAATGTAAAGTCCTTTATAACCTATGGGACTTAAAACAAGCATTTATATTCACCATGTTATCACATAACGCAATAACCTGGAACTGTTTATACATGAATGCCCTAAACCCTCCAGTAACATATGCAATCCACTTGTGTCCATATGTTGTGGTACATGCAGTTAATGTGCTATTCACTCATCATGTATACTAACCCAGTGCCTGTCGAGTGGGAAAACAGAGAGGATGCAGAACAATTGTGCCTTGAAGTCAAGATGAATAGCAGTGATTGATCTGTCACACAGTGGTACCATGATGTTTTTTTTCCCTCAAAAACTACAATGGTTGGTTTCTTGTCTTCGGACGTCACATGTCCATTTGTGTGAGCCAGAAGGATGTGAATCCCTCATTGTTCTCTGGAGCAGTTCACTGTTTACAGTTTAAAGTACAGAGTGAGTGTATCTAGAAATACATTTAGATAACCTTTGTAGTGGGTGTTTAAGATTAGTGTCAAGTGATTTCCTCATATAATATCAATTTAAATGTATTTTGTGGATTCCAAGCAGAAAATGATGGTTTAATACTCCTTTAATAACGACAAATAATCAAGCTTTATTTCCCATTTTCCCATAATTTTATCCCGTTTCATTCCTTTTTTCTGATCAGGAGTTGTGGATCACTTCACTATAGTATCAACAAAACAATTTAACAAAAATATTTAATTTGATATAAGAAAAAATTGCCCCTAACAATTCAATTCTAGAAGGTTTTAAAAATGCTTAATGTATTTTGAATAATTCAAGCTGAATAGCTAATTCATTCGGATTAGTTGTTTTGCTTGTTTAAAATGTGCGTTTTAACGATAAGTCTTATTAATAAAGAAAAGTATAATGTATTGACATTATGTGAAGCATGTGTTGGGAAACGCTATCCAAGTTTTGATATTAAAAAATACAAGTAAAAGACATGTACACAAAATATAGACTCCTGCATTTTATCTAATGTTTCTAAATTCACAATGAATTTATTGTTGCAGATCAACATGATTATAGCCTTTCATGAAGTCTCTATGTGTCTTTTTGTCATGCTCTCCATGTGATCCAGCATAGCTCATCCTCAAAAACTCCATGGTCATTAGTGAAACTATTCAAGCATCAAAGTCACCTCTTTTAAGGTAATTTGTGCTACTTCTGATCTGACCCTCACTTACCTGCTCTGCGGAGCTGATAGGTAGAAACAATAGCTTTTAGCCACTCAGGACATGGTGTTTTTTATCATTTAAAAATACAAGATGTACTTTATTGATCGCAGTTTGGGACATTTCTGAAACTATATAATATACAAATAAAGAATCAAGGTTTCTAGTGCTTATCTTAAAAGCTGTTTATGATCTATGAACGTCTGGCACGGTCGCTGTATCTTAGTTGACATTTCTACCGGACAGGCTTGAACAAGATCGGAACCTAACAACCAACAATAAGCATCAAATACACCTAGGATATGTGCAATGCCTTTTCAAATATTGGCTTAATTCTCTCTCTAATCACCACTCACAAATATATTGTGGCATTACGTTCCTGCAAAGAACACATTTCTACTCATTGAGACATCTTCATCTCAAATCCATATAAGATTGATATTAATGTTAGATGCTCTTTCTGACTCCAAATAAAGCTGCACTCAGCAAATTGAAGTCTGCACTGTAGCTTTAGGTGCACTAGAGGGTGCAATTGAGCTATTCGTATAATAATGTTTATTGACTTGCTCTACTTTAGCTGGTGCATTCTGGGAATAGTTCAGTCCCTTGTCACTGCGAATGCAGCATGTTTCAAGGTAAAGTGAAGAGAAATTGGCAAATATAAATAAAAGTAAATGAATTGAAGAATAAATGAAAGAATGGATGAATAAAGTGGACTTGAATGACAACCTGGCTCTCTTTCTACCATCTCCCACCACTAACACATTCATGTAGATTTGTAAAAAAAAAAGGGTCAAAATGATTGTATGAATAACATTGGGAGAATGAACCCTTAATTATGAGTGATCCATTAATTTAGTTAATGCCTTTGTCTGCATGCAGAGTTGTATTTTTGAGATATATATGTATAAATGTATGAGGGAAAGTGTGTAACATGTAAATGTATGCCTTTATTTACATTTTGTTATTTGTATTACAAATGTGCATTTTGCTTACATTCAACTGTGAGCACGGATGAAACATATTTGTTATTTCTTATTGTTATTTGTCCCCTTGTCAGAAATTATGTTTTTTTTTTTTTTTTTACTTTGTTTATTGGGTTTTTCAACAGCATACAGTTATTCTATCAGTGCATGTATCAAAAGTAGGAAAACAAATATTCACTTTATAGAAAAATAGGTATAGTAACAATGCAAATACTGCTTAACACCAGGGCAAACAAAATCCCACACAGACAGAAGACAAACAGACATACAAACACAGACAAACAAAAAATAAATAAATAGAAAACCAGTCAGCTAAAACAAAAATGTCAATAATAAACAATAAATGTCAGTACTGCAGCACCTCCTCGCGACAACCCGCCCAGTAATGGAACCCCTCCAAAATGCAAAAGTTTAATCAGGAATAATTGGGAACTTTATCCTCTTAACAAATTTGAAAAAAGGGCCCCATATTTTCCCAAATCTATTTGAGGAGCCACTCAGAAAACCTAATCCTTTCCATCTTCAGGAAAAAAAAGGATGTCTCTTATCCAGTGAGTATGAGATGGAGGTACAGTATCTATCCATTTAGTCAATATCAACCTTCTAGCCAGAAGGGCTAGCTATCACGTCTCTCTTGGACGTAGGGAGGGAAGGTGAAGAGGGGGAGACCCCAAACAATGCAGTAAGAGCTTTCGGTGCCACTGGGGCCCAAATTAGTTCCGAAGTAGTTTTGAACATCTCTACCCAATACGTATGGATGGGCAAAGCCAGAAACAAATGATATGTTTTAGTTGTGGGCAGTTCAATTGAACATTTATTATAACTTCATCAATCATTTTTAAATGCCCTGAAAAGTTATATAACCTTGACCTTATATTCATCTTACAAAGACTTGAAATGGGCCGGCTCCCCATGTTGGAAACCCCCTGCACTGAGCCTCGTGAATAGAGCAATGTGGTGTCATTGACTATATGTTTATAAAAGCCTGTATCTCTCTCTGTTACCACTGAGCATGATGAAATTCAGTCCCTGTACTCCGAAACTTCTCTTTCTCATGATGACAAAACAGGTTTTTTTCCCCCGTCTCTATCCTCCGACGCAACAAAGAGATAAAAGGATAAAAAAATATAAAGAAGAAAAGAGTGAGAGTCCTACACGACAGTTTCACCAATAGTGCCAGTTTGCATGAGTCACTTTACACCTTTCACACACTTTCTACTTGTGAGGACACACCAGGCAAATGATTGTTTCATCACCTCAGTGACTCACTCCTCTTTTGTAACTTCTTCTCCTGCTCAAATATTGTCCTGGCATTTCATTTAGTATTATATTATTGATGTTGTAACTGGGACAATATTTGTAGACCACCTTTTTGGCTTATGACCCTTTGTAGTCATACTTTATTAAATCCCAAAAGGGGAAAATACGTTGTGTAGGCATCCATTAAACCTTTTTATCACAGGTTACATATGTCTGTAAGCTGTGAGAGGTTTCACCAGAAAGGGATGTTCGCCTTTCTCAGTTAGTATTATTTAATTATTAATCCTAATAAAGAGGAAGTCTCGAGCATTTCACATGTAACAAGAGAAAAGAAACTAAAGAGCAAATAACAAAATAAAAAATGAAACCCCACAACCCCTTTCTTTGTTTTTGTTAGTCGTTATGCAAACACTTCTATCTTGAAACTCTCCCTATATATTGTATTGCATGAGCTTCTAATTATAACATTTAAGTGTAAGTTTATAGATGGGTGGCGATCATTTTTATTGTTTTATATTATTATATTACACATAATATAGGTTAATCTGACTTTGTATTGGTCATCTAATGACTTTACAGTTTCATTATAGTCATAACTACAAGCTCATCATTTGGCAAAAATGGCCGTAATACACTTTTATGAACATTTCCCATAAAATCTTTATCAGTCAGTAATCGGTGCTGCGGTCGGGAATGCCCTCAGGTGGAATCAATGACACAGCTGGCCACTCCTTTATAATCAAACAGTGCACTGACACCATTTACTGATAGAAAGAAGTGATAAGTGTTTGGCGACAGTCCACAGTGCAGACACAGTAATAGTCTAATTTTAGCTCTAGTCTATCCCAACAATGGTATGAAGCTCTTTTATCAAACTTGAGACAACAGTAGAGATGAGGTCAGATACAGTTTCAGTCTATTTTAATCATCATGAAAAGAAAACACTTTCAAAGGCCACTCTGATTGATTATTGAAGAGCTCCTTACATCACATTATAGTTATAGTAGACTTAGATAATTGACCTTGAGACAGTTCCTTCAACAGAGAACTTCTTTGTTTGTGTACTATTTTTTATTTATAACCTTGAGGGATTTCCTCTGTGGCCTTGTATAAAGAGGGAGGGGTAACAAACAGATAGTAAAGTCTCCACCTTTTTCTGTCATTGTTGTCACAAAAAGAATATTATAGCAAGGTTGGACTGTTTTCATAGTGACTTGCAGTTTTTAAAAGGCCTTCACAGGTTTTAGTGTCCAGTCAAAGTGACATGACTCTAGAAGCCTCTCTGGTCGGTGCCTGCTCCTGACCTCTGACCATACTTGGCAGAGTTGCAGGGGAACAGAAAGAAAGAGTCTAATAGGGATCAATAAACTATCAGATTAACATTATTTACCCTGGTGCAGTTTATGTAATTGGCCATTTTCCCCCTCTTTAGAACTGTTAACTGTAAGACATATGGTCATTTATTTGCTTTAGTGACGCATTACTGGAAAACGACGACATAGCCCGCTGAGGTGGACACCATGTTCTTGTGCTGTAACCAACCTCATTTGGAAATCTCTTTATTTAACGTCTCGCCTATCTCTAATCTGTTTTATTTCCGAATTGATGTGTTAATAAAACTAGTTAATTAACTTCACTGGTTTCTAATTTCATCGGTCACATGTTGTTAACGCAAACACAATGCTGCAAAATGTTGCAACATAATGACATACGGCCGTGGCTGAGCCCATCACATGCTCACCTGACTAACCAGGGGTGTGGCAACACAGAAGCTCTATAAATAAAAGCATGTGAGGAATTTCATTCATAACATGGACAAACCCCATCTGCTGAGCTGCACCACTTTCAAACCAGACCTACCTGGCACGCTCACCATGCTTAGATCACGCACACTCCACCGACTCTTCTCCTGCACGCTGCTGCTCCTCGTCTTCCTCTCCAGCTCGGGGGAGAGCCGCCCTCAAACAGCCCAGGAAGGGTCACCTGATGTGGGGAGAGTGGACAGCAAGAGGGTCCTGCTTCTGGAGGCGGTGAAGTCGGGGATCCTCGGCTCTTTGGGTATGGAGAGGGAGCCAAGACCAACTCAAAAGGCCTCGGAGGAAGAGCTGAGGAAGATGTATCAGATCTACAGGGAACAAATAAGAGAGATGAGAGGGAATTCCAGCCAGCCGATGATAGGAAACCAGCAATCCACCATGTCTACTGTGCTGTTTCCAGCTACGGGTGAGGTGTTTGTTCGACAGGGAGACATCAGGAACACACTTAGGTCTAATTTGGTAGTTGTCATGCTTAAATTACTTGTGTGAAAAGCCAAATTGGAATGTTTGAGTGGGAGAAGGAATGAAGATTGCATGAAATCTTGCAGATTGGTTTTACCTAACTTCTTTTGTCCATATAGTTCATGGTCCAAGTTATGATCTCTGACTTAGTGGAACGTATCACAGCATGGTTTAAACATATGGTTGTAAATAGAATCAAATCATCCTTTGAACAAAGCAAACAAATTCCTTCTAGCTTTTAGAAATCATGAGCATGACAGACACACCTGGTACACCATGTCACAATTGAACACGTGTTTTTATCACATTAGAGACAAGCCAAACAAGAAGTGAGCATTGGAATTCAAAATAACACTGGATGATTTGAAAATATGTATGTCTTCTTTGGGATGATGTTTCCAAAAGGTACTTTTTAACTCATTGCAGGACTATTGAAATCTTGGTTCTAATGAAATGTTCTTTATTTTTGATTTTTTTTAGTGGAGCCAAGAAAAGGGATTCGGAGAGGAGAACACTTTTATCCACATTCAGGTCAACGCATGCAGTGGTACAGAGCCATTTTCCACAAGAATCCCAACATCCAGACTGAAGTGACACTAGCACGGGCTGAGCTGAAGATTTCCAGGAAGATTTTAGACAAACCAACTTCAGTTCAGCCTGAGGCAAAACGAGTTGTTAAAGTTAAAATCAACCGGACGCGGTCGATAAACTCTGCTGCATGGACTCACATAAACTCACCCAATGTGTCAAACACTCAAGATGTGCTGCTGGATATCAGCCCTGAGGCGGAGAGGTGGATGAGCACAGATGTTGGAGAGGCCCTGGTTGTGGATGTGGGGATAGCTGTGGCCGAACAAGATGCCCTCAGGGTAAATCCAACTATTTCCCTGGAACTAGGCCTCACACGGCCCAGGAAGACGAGGCTGCCTCGCTCCAGCAACAGGGAGGACGTCTGCGATGAACAAGGGTGGTGCTGCAGGAAGTCTGTCACCGTGTCCTTCAAAGACATCGGCTGGGCGGACTGGGTGGTGGCCCCCACTGAGTATATCATGCATTTCTGCGATGGCTCCTGCCCCCACAACTACAAGCCTGCCAGCATGCACACGCAGGTGAAGTCTCGGCTGCATCAGTTCACCAAGGGAGGGTCTCCTCTCCCCTGCTGCGTGCCAGCGGCCTACGAGCCCATGGTTCTCATGCACTATGACAGTAGGGGAAAGTTAAAGCTGACTCCTTTCAATGACCTGATTGTCACTCAATGCCACTGCGCTTAAGGAAATGTACCTTTGTTATTTCGACTTTTGGGAGAGTGTTGCCATAAAAAAAGGTTACATGCTGAGATAATGAGTGTTTTTCTATGGTTAGCTAAATTAAAATAGCTATTTTTTCATTATACTTTATTTAGAAGAAAAATGTGTTACTGCTGCAGCAGTCATAGTTTTATTTATTTTAACTTATATTTATGGTCCTAAATGTATGTGTTTTATGATTGCCTTTGTTTTTGTTACAGCGTATATTTTGTACTATTTAATTGTATTGTCACTTATCATTTGAAGTACTGTATTGTTCGATGGGGCACATGGTTGTGGATTCTTTGTTGTCTTGTTCATTTCAATAATTATATGAAGATTTTAATAAATGCTCTGATTTATTCCCACTGATGTGTTGCATTTGAATATATCAACATACATTTAATAATAAACACAGGAGCATGGTATGTTCTAATATGTGTCATTTATCTATAAGAAATACTATCAACTGCTGTAGATAAGGCAGGCCACCGTGTGCCAGAGAAATCAGTGTGTAAAGATATGGTAACTTATACTATCTCACTTTTATGTCCTTGAAGTTGTGCTTACTGTGGCCTTGACCAGTCAGTCAAGATATAAAAAAACATAATCATTACTTTCATATGAAAGGGAAAAAAGAAAAGCTGCTTGCTGTGTAAACTGCTCAGATTACATATCAATGACGATACGGTAAATGCGTTTTCAATTACAGATTACCAAAGCTTCTTGTTGGAATATTTACTTTCAAATGATGCTGGGATAAGTTATTAGAAAAGGAACAAAAAAGCTTATGTGAGATAGAATACAATAAGTTTGATTGCCAAGACACAAAAAACGTTATTCACGTTTGTAAAAGACCTCATAAGAGGAAGTCAAAACTTTCCAAAATGCAGGTCTTAGTAATACAGAGCGAACTAAAGTGAACTGAAATCGGTAGCAAGCAATATTTACAGTTTAATGACTCAAAGTAGTGACACCACCAACCCTAATGAGTTATTAATGTTTTTATCTTTGTATGGGTAAAGGTCACTTCAATCTGAGCAGGTGTTGTTTTACAATTAATAAAGTAGATGTATTAAAGAGTGGGGCGTATTGAGTGACCCTGGGACTGAATAAATAGGCAGACGGATATATACATGATTAATCAGTCAAATGTTAACTGTAATTACACTTTTTGTATGGTAAAATTTGACCTGTGCCAACAAACCACTCACTCACTTCTTTTGTTTTTTGCCATGCTACTCTTTGTTTCAGTGATGACATCCTCAGTTATTGCACAACTGCGGGGTGGATGTAAAGGTCTTCAATCTTAGATTCTGAAAGGTCCTGAGTTACAGTACCACCCAAAGTATACAAGTATAAAAGAATTACAGACAGTATTTATCAAGGACCTTCTGTGTGCAATCTAAGGTAGGCAGCGTGGACTCATTAGCCTCTACTTGGCTTTCTCCTGGTTTTAATCCTCACGTAGCCTTACTGGAAAACCACCACTGAAATGAATCACAAGATGAAAAGAAATAAGAAATACGAAATCTAAAAAATCCGTTGCTTGATGTGATCTGTCTGCACAAGTCACACTTATCACATGGTACCATTTGAACTGAATGTTATATTTGTTTGTCTCTTGCCAGTAAGATATTTTTAGGAATAAGACTGACATTTTTTTTTTTTTTAGAAAAGTCTTTGCATCCTCCCTATGTGTCTCTGCCGAAAACTGATGGACCACAAAACATAACAAATAGTGCTGACATTTAAAGGTGGGGTAGGTAAGTTTGAGAAACCGGCTCGAGATACACTTTTTGTCAACATCCCGATAGCAATGAATATCTAAAGTGCTTTGACAAAAAATCCATTAAAAAATGTCTGTGGAAGCCGTGGTAGGCCTACTGTAAAAAGCACGACCAATCATTTTAGCCGGCCCGGCTAAAATAACTGGATGGCCTACCTGCCTGTCAGCCTTCCATCTGTGCACAAACTTATCTCGTGCCCTCATTGGTCATGTGCGCGTTCGTTTGTGTTGGAGGGTGCGGTCTGCAAGGAAGTGGCAGATTTTTTCCGGTTGTGTATTTTCAAATTCTAGCGATCTCAAGCTGGTTTCTCCAAAATGACCTACCCCACCTTTAAGTGTTTGGAAGTCTTATTAGTCTACTTGTTATCTTTCTGTGCAGGCATCATGTTTTGCAATTGTCCACATACTTCAAACGTTTTTTTGTTATTTTTCACTGTTAAGACACAGAACAGGTGGCGATTAGCTAAAGACTGTAAAAGGTAAAATAAACTCAAATAAAAAGCAATTGTAAGGATAATGAAATAAAACCAAATAGACAATGAAAAGAAACAATGTTTTTAGTTGAGTCAAATATGTTTAAAAATACAAAAATAATTAATTAAACGAACATTGGCCTCCTCCGAAGACTTTAAGGCTGATAAATATTCAAAATGGCAAAAGTTTGTTTACCACGAAAGCAGATTATATTCTATAAATCACAATGAATACAATTTCATATATTTGCACATATCAATCTAGGAACATGCATACGTACATGTGGAACATTACAATAACATTTCTCAGTTTTTAAATCTTAAAAAAATGTAATAAAAAAAGATTTGTATTTGTGAACTTGATACAAAAAAGGACAGCAGAATACATGAAGTGATACAAGTGTGAAGAAAGGGCAGACACTTCTTCTCTCTAAAGGTCAAAATGGAAAGTGATCCATCGGCAATTCCGGGCCTATCGGGAGAAAGCCATAAAACTATCAAATCTTATCAGGAAATTGGGTTAACTTAAAGGTGGGGTAGGTAATTCACTTCAGAATTTTTTTTTGTTATATTCCATGGAATGCTCTTAACATCCTGATAGCAATGAATACATTAAATGCTTTGACAATAAATACATTAATAAATGTCATCTGTGGAAGCCGTGGCGCTGTAAAAAGCACGACCAATTATTATTATTATTATTATTACTGGATGGCCTACCTGCCTGTCAGCCTTCCATCTCGTGCACAAACTTATCTCGTGCTCTCATTGGTCATGTGCACGTTCGTGTGTGTTGGAGGAGGGGCTCTGTAAGGATGTCTGAAGGAAGGGGCAGATTTTTTTTGGCTGCGTACTTTCAAATGATCCTAACTTTAAGTCAATATGTGTTCTTTCAGTACAGAGTGATCCTAAATTAACTGTGCCAAAAACAGTAGCAATCAAATGTCAGCTGTAACATAATATGTACAACAGATTTAATATAAGATTCCATTCCTTACTTTACAGTCTATAGATTATAACTATAAAATGTAAAATAATGCACTGCATAATATCCAAAGATTACAGACACTACATTATTTGTTTTAGCTGTATCAAAAAGCAGTAGCACATTTTTGCCTTGTGATAATGTGCATTGATTACACAATGAATGGAGATGAATCCTATGAATCTGGCATAATATACACGTCTTCGTCTTGGCTGTCTGGCAGGATGGAGAGGTTACACGATGGATCATTGCCGTATATTGCATCATCTGGTGAATCACACTGCAGGTACACATCCTCTTCAGGTTCACTGGGAAACCTACAGAGAAACAATACAAGTGATGAGAATGTAGTTTTAATTAGAAAGCACTTTTTCATTGTGACACAAGGCAAATATTTGTGTGGATTTCCTTCTTGCCCTGAGAAAAAACTCCCACAATGAATCATCAGCTGGCACGTTTGATTAATACATTTCAAGTCATAGGAAACAAAAGAGGAGATCATTTCCAGACGCCAGCCAAAATGTGTGGTTATATTACAAAATGATTGTGCAAAATGGGGAAATTCAAGCCACGCTCACAACTGTTTCTTCATCTATTTCCGTTGAGAGGTCTTTTTTTTCATAGTTTCACAAATGTAATTTCATAATAGCATTTCCTCTAAAAAGGTGTAAACTTGTACTGCCAGATAAGGACTTGAGGTTCAGCTTACTTGTTCTGTTCTACTTCGGGCCTCTTGTTCCTAGTAGTTTGAGTTGTCAGGTTTTCATAAATAGGGTTCGGTTCTGTTGAATCATGAATCCTGCTGGTGCACTGATGGGAATCATCTTGTGGTGTTTCTGCAAAGTCTTCTTTTTTCTGTCGTCTTTTTTTCCCGAGCTGCAACATATCTCTCACTTTATTGTATTTGTAAACAATTACACCAGCAATGATCGCCACCAGTAGAAAGAAGAGAGTCAGCCCGACAGCCAGACCTGCGTTCGAGTTTGAGACCAAAGTAGGGATTTCCGTGGTATTCGTGATCTGCAAGTATAGAAATTACAGAATGAGACTGCAGCACATTGCTCAATAGTCATTAGGAACAACAGATATTTATTTATCATTTATACAAAACCTTTTAGCGTATTATTGCTTATTATTGTTAAAAAATGCTTCTTCACAAGCAAAATTAAATAAGTCTTAAAACATAAAAATAAATTAAAAAAATAACACCAAAATAAACTCTAGGAAATGCTGTTAGATAACCTTGTACATGAAGCCAAGTCAAACAGTATGGGTCAATACAAAGAGTGAACGTACCATAGAAGGCTCCATCGTTGTGGGTCAAGGTCTGAGTTATGAGGGAAGTCAAGTAGTTTGTGTAACACCTCACACTTGCAATGCTGAAGTTCCCTTTTATTGAAATCATGGACCAAAAGCACTGAACCCAGAATATTTCCTGTAAAAGCTATTTCTGAAAATAAACGGCTGCTGACAGGAGCTGAATTGCAGTTAAATTAAACTTTGTGACACAATCAACACATTTCCGATCTGAACACGTACAAATAGTTAATAGTTTAGCCCGATTTTAATATGTTGATGATCAAATAAATTATTAAGAACAGAAGAAATGTTGGCTAAATTGATATTTTGTAGAGTTTTTTGCATTTAGGATAGTAACGTACTGTATGGTGTCCCCCAGGAAAGATGATTAGGACCACTGTTTCTCTCTATAAATATGTTAATGATATGCCAATAATACATTTATAAAAAGTCAGTTTAACATGATTCCTGGTGATATAACTGTGTATAAATGATAAAGAATTAGATAAATCCAATCAATAAATTATGTACTGCAGTGCAACCTCATATGCAAGCTAGTGAGACTAAACTATCGCTACGGTTACGCTTGATGAGCAACTGTCCTGGTGTAGTCACATGTACAAAATATGTGCAAAACATTGTAAAGAAGTATACCTATTACAAGAAGGTGGTCCCCATGTCTTGGTGAAAGTTGCATCTTGCTGGTGATAGAAGCCATAATATTGTCTCATCTTGATAATTGATTACTCACCCAGTAAAGTGCCAGAAGATCTGGCGAAGCTTCAGTTAGATTAGAGCAGCAAGATTACAACTTTGCTGTTGAATATGAGATAGTATTAATAAAATGAACACCCATCTCATTTGACTAAAGGTCATTGTTGGGAAATGTAATAGTTTTAAAACAACACAAAATGATTTTAAGCATTAAAGGTTCTTGAAGAAAGGGTTTTAGAGTTTATGTTTAAGGTTTATTATCCCAATAAATTATAAACTCACAGATAAAAACAAGCTTAAGTTAATCCAAAGTGTAAGTGGTGTTATCTCTTTTCTACATGTAAATACTGCTACATGAATTAATGATACACACACACACACACACACACACACACACACACACACACACACACACACACACACGCACACACACACACAAATACAATTCTGCAGAATATAAAGAAAAGCAAATAAACTATTAATTAAAAGGGGAATTGTTAATTTCAACCAACACTATAATGATTTCTCACTGCATGTTATCACAAGTCACACATGTAAGAGTGTTAGGTGGGGTGAGAGACAGTGTTGAACTTGTTGAAACAGTTTCTTAGCCCACTGTAAAGTATTAAAGTAGCTTTACAAATGCAAATATTATATGTTTGTTATGGGATCATAGTAAAGACAAATCTACATGACAAAAGCCTCAACAGTTACCTTTTAACACTGGAAATGTTGTGCTGACATGCATTTCTACCATACCATAGGTTTATTGTTCACCGCATGTACAGTAGTACGAAAACGAAAGTGGTCTGAAAGATGTTTGCAAAGAGAAAAAGTGGGAGGCATTTTCAGACTCTCGGGTTTATCTGAGAAAGTGAAGTGAGAGTTTCGTCTTTCTGCTGCCTACTCACTCAAGCCAAAGAGATGTTGCAGTGTAAGCAGTGTGTTGCAATAAGAAAAACATTAACAACGTTTGATGAAGGACAGCTGGTTACGGGATTCCTGCATGAAAGGGGGTTTATTTCATTTTTATAGGCCATCACCACACTAAACTTCAAGACTCCCCCCCTTAAGGCTTATTTAGCGATAAAAGATCAATCCTGTGACAGACTCTCTCCACCTGCCCTGGATTCGCTCTTTTTTCTGTTACCATGGTTACCTTACAACCAAATTACACTCTCCTCAATGGCTGGTAAAACAGCTCTGTGCCCTCAGTGCCTGTAAAAACAACAACAAAGAAAGTCTTTGTAGGTGGTGTTTTGACAAAAAAATATGTCTTATGAATTGGATTATGCAGGTGTTGTTGTTACTGAGTGTAAAGTATTATGATATATAAAGCATGTGTATAGGCCTCTCTCTGTTGTGAATGCAGCTGTTTTCATGGCTGACAGTATGCTGCTGCTGAAGATAAAACTCCCACTCAAGTGAGGAAACAAGAACGGACAAGCAAAGGTCTTTTCCCCCTGATTGTTTATTATATCATTTTTATGGGGAACAGCTTAACAGAATGTGACAGAAACATCTCTTTGTCCTTCATCTAAGAGCACAACGGTGTCCATCAGTGAGTCTCTAAGTTTTTTCACCTTTTGAATCTGTTCATCTGGAAAGCAGGAGGAGCGTTGTTGTGATAGTTTTTATCTTCTGTCAGCGGGGATGTGCATGCGACTCCAGAGGAGGCAGACATTGCCATTTTCAGGCCTTCAGGCCAGACTTAAAGTCACAAACATTTAGGCCAAACCACAAGGAAGTTAATTATTGTCCGCAAGAAAAAACCAGCTGAATTTAGTTTTATACTTAAAGCATCAATGTTTACCAAAGAGAGGTTAAAAGAATCAACTGATGTAAGAATTGGTCACACTGGGTGAAAGATAAGATAAGAAGATGGACCTTTATTCAAATTCAAATTTCATAACAGCAACAGTAAGAGAAAGAAACACAGATAGTGCACACAATTAGAATAAAAGTACAATTAAATAAAAAAGAAATAGATAAAAAGAAATAACAAAAAATAATTTGATTCAAACTATGATCTATGACCTTCTTTATGATAAAAGCAGTGATCCCTAAAAATATCTTGCATTGATATATTACTACTACCAATAATAATAATAATAATAATAATAATAATAATAATAATGTATATATTCTGCTGTGGTTATGTGGAGGCTCTTGTTTTAGATTACAAATTCGTGTTTTGTTAAAAAAGTGAAATGTGCAGTTACTCCGCAGTCCAGATGTGCGGGGCGCCCCCACTACACCCCCGCGCGGCGACGTGATCACGCAAAGCCGAGGCAGCTGCGTCAAGTCGGGCAGAGACGACCAATACCGGAAACTACACATGTGCCTTCAGAATAAAAGCTGACGCAAAAAAAGGGAATTCGGTTTTACTTAGTGGGAAACAAATGTTAGCCACTAGTTTACTGGACATTAACATAATCAATATGATCAATTGTAGGCCTATATGTTTTAATATGTTATCATTACCTGCATTTGCTTTGGACAAACTTTACATTTGCTAAGTGTAAAGAATATTAGGATACACAACTACCAAGCTGAACATATAGTTGTGAGGAATTGGGGAGGTAAAGCAAAGTAAGTCAATGTTTGCTAGCATTTAAGTTTTAAATGTGACTAGCTGTTTTATCTGGGATTCTGTGAGCATTGTCTGTCCCCTGGTGGCAGTGGTGGAAGAAATAGGCTACTCAGATCGAAAATAGCAACACTACACTGGGAAATTGCCAACTCTGCCTATCTTACGAAGAAGCCTACAAGTGCAACAAAATACAATTTAATAACCAAAAGTAAAAGTAAAACTCATCATGCAATAGCCTATGATAATTGATGCATTCAAGTGTCAAACATATTCGTTTTTCAACTTGCTAAGGAGTAAGGTAGAGCTAATTTTACATTCAAAAAGCTTTATTCACACGATCATAACCAGCAAACGTACTGTTGGGAGTATCGTGGATAAAGCTACCAACACGTTCCCCCCCCTCCAAAGGATCTATTAATAATGATCTGCAAAGTAGATACTGATGTAAAATCAAAATGTAATGTATTGAAATGTGAAATTATGGCAATCCAAGTTTACAAAATAGCATAACATGGAAATACTCAGGAAAACTAGTCTACAAGTTGCCTACCTCAATTCGGCTTCCGTACTCAATAACCTTCTTAAGTCGGTAACACTTTACGGTAAGGGTACATGAATCATCATGAATTCATGCATGACTTAATTCATGATAAAGCATGAATTAATTCATGTAGTACTCATGAACTATCAGTAATGTACAGGTATTAATGGTATCTAATGCATGATTTAATGCAGGAACAATACCTTAATTAATGCATCAACTAAGGTATCTCAATCATCATGATGTATGAGTTATTAATGATGTTCATGTCTTCTTCATATAGATCTGCAGTTAAAGTGTCAGGCCAAAAAACTGACCAGTCACAGCAATTCCAAGTGTTGTAATCATGATTAACTAAGCATGACTTTTTCATTACTTCATCATGTTTGTGCCCCTTCAAATAAAGTGGTGGCCTGTTCCATCGTTTACACTGATAACTAACATATGATTAATGGTGGTATGAAATAGAATGTATTAAGCATAAGCAATTCATGGGGTGGGTTGGAGAAATTATAGTAAGAACTGAATTTACACAAAATGTACTGCAGATTTTACAATTTTGTTTATTCACATAAAACACATTTTTATTTTGTAAAA